TTGTCTCTATCTCTCGGTCTGATCTGATGTCTGATATCACTCAACATCAGGGTAGATGAAATGGTTAGACGTACATAATACATGTCCCACTATCTAACTCTATGAAGATTCACAAACTCGTAAAAAAATTTGCCATTTTTTGTCTGGTGCTTGCTGTATGACTGAGACGCTATTCAGTCTACCTTTACACGACATTTGAGCTATATATAAGATCAAATACCTTCCGCCTATTTATAAGTTCAAAATTCATAGACTACGTCCAGAAGTGATACATGGTGAGTATATGTACAGTATATCCACCTTTGATTGGCAGGAGGATATAAGTAAAGTAAATTGATCGAAAAGTAGGAGAACTTACTGATTTTATCAGATTTGGTGAGACTTATAAGACAAATGAAATGGTCTACTCACTCGACTGCTTTCCTGTCTATGATTAGTCTAAAATGTAGTGCAGACCAAATCTGGAGAGCAAGATGAAAGAATTCAAAGCATACACAAGAACTCTGTTGCGTATCACCGAACTTTCTAACGAGGATGGATACATTCTTCAACATCCGTTCGCCATACACTCGTTATCATAATTTTCAATGGCACTGTATCGAGAGTTTTAATGAAGACAAGTACTAGAGTATACACAAAAAGATTGTAACCGTAACTGCGAGTTTAAGGCGAGTTGAAGAAAAACTACTAATCACAGCAAGTCTAAAACTTCAACAAGACGCATCCTCTGAATTATAATCCCCGTAGATGATTGGTAATTTCTCAGTAAAACTGTATTTTTGATGCTGTTTCATCGACTAAATAAGTTCGATACATGAGGGACGTGTTGTCTAAAGGACTATCATGAGTTCTATAATCTTCTGCATTACGATACTGAAGCAAGAAGTTATAGGTGCATCTTTTAGCTTTCCTAGATAACTTGGATTTACTGATTTGATAGCACTCTCTGAGATGATCTGCCGGAGTGTTAGACTGAAGATGTTGTGGGGCTGTACATAGATGATGGCACCCAAAGTCAGTGAGCCAGCTGCTGAACTCTTTTTCTGAGGAGTCGTTTACGTCGTCCTTCACTGATACATCAGGTATTGCTTCACGACAAAATATCCTCCACATCGTTCTTTGAGTAGTTTCCTCTGTGACTGTTCGTGAATTCCACTTCTGGCCATTTGAAATGTGAACAAACAATAACTAAAGCATATTACGAGTTTAAGAATGGGTATCAGTAATCCGTATGAATACGTTGCTACGATTCAAATGAAGCAGGCCAAGAATCCCAGGTAGGTTTACTGTACGATGACCTGTATGTCTTTTCGGTATTCGACTGGTATCAACGCCAATCTCAGGCCACCAACAAGTCTGACGAACAAGTGAATTCATTTCCTCTGCTTACAAATGGCTGACAGAATGCAATCTAATAATCAGATTGCTCTGTCATTGAAGCACAAAACGCCTTCAGGATAAAGTGATATCTCCGGTACTTTCGTAGATCTCGGTAAACCTACACTTGTACTGAATATTTCAACATCTTTTCACCGCAATTATGACAGTCTTAAAGTGCTTCTTAAATTCTGCTTCATCGACAGATAATGTCTGAACAAATATACAATCACTTTCGTAAGCGGTCTTTCGAAATATTAATAGCGTGATAGAAAATCTGTGCGTGATATGCTCATAGGCACTCGCTGCTCACTGATGAAATCATTAGCACTTGTAGTGGCATTGGTTCCTAACCATACGACCTTTGAAGCTGAGCATATAATTATTGAAAAGATTTATATTCTATAATTAACATGAAGAGAAGGCCAACAACGGTGTACGTGAGAAGATTCCATTCATCTATTTCGAACTGCATGGCTCAGCATAGCAGGCGTGGCCATTCTTGTGTAAATTATCTCATCTATACATACTAAATGTATTGTTCGATCTCCAGCCTAAATATGTTCTTTAGAAACGTTAAACATTATATTGACGATTGTTACGATACGGCAAGTCAGAATAGACAATGATGTGACTTCCATGTAATATCTTATTAATTAGGTTTTCACATCATGACACATCTACAATTTTAGGATTAGGTCTGTCACTATAGCATTACGAATAACGAAATATATGAATTAGAGTATGAACTAGGAATCCCAGAAATAACGTAATCGGATCAAGAAGTACTAGATAAGCACGAACGAATTTACTGTATTTGGAATTCGAAATCAAGCATTCAACAAGTACAAAGGAATCATTAGTTCATTCGAACACCACAGTATACCGTAATTCAACACATTCAACTGTAACTTTAAAAGTCGTTCATTATGCAACTTAGTATTTTAGGCATGAACTGCAATATCATCCTGATACGATTCAAGACCGGTGATAATCTGATTTACAACCTTCTAGGATATCGCAGGGGAAATATTAAATCTGAATTGTATGAATTTATACTTTAACATTTTGAATGATTTATGAATAGTTGATAGTAGAATTTATACTCATTTGTTTGTGTTACCAACTGTTGATATTCAGAACTGTGTTTATGCATGTTTAATTTAAGCTGATTCTCTTCATCCGGTCACTTTATTGAGGGTTTTTTAGTTTATAAATTATGATTAATAAAGAAATCTAAGACAGGAGTCTTGTAGTGTGACATCGAGTTGGGATTGACTATGAACACCGCTACCAAAAAACACGTGCCAAGTAAATCAGAAGGCGAAGGTTGAACGTAACCAAATAAATCCAGAAAATCCCCGAGAAGCCAAATATCAGAAGACAATTAATGGACCAAGTCGAGATATATTTGCTGGCGATCTCGTGGTATCGAAAGGATACCGAGATCGTGCCAGAATACAAGCTTGGTTACAGAACGTAACCGAATTCGCGCGAAGTCACAATCAAAGTGTAAGAATAAGAATGGAAGCACAATATAGCTGTCATTAGAACAGTCAAACAAAGGCACATTAAAACAAACACTGGTACAGTTGGTTATAATAATAATTGTTTTTATTAAACCAGTCGTGTTCTCGTGATAAATGTGAGCCACTACGGTCTCTTTCTACTCAAAGTTCACCAAATGAAAGTATCGACATCTAATTGTTAATGTTTACAACTAAAACTGATGCAAAACACCCATCTCTTTAAATAATGAGTCCACATATTCACCTTGTATAACAGGTACAAAGTTTAACTGAAGGATGTTTGGATTATTCCATTGTTAAAACAAGACAAGTGTCTTGGATTTCAATTCCAGTCTTTATCCCAATAGAGTAATTTCATAGACTAATAAAATATAAGAAAACTCTTTTATGTATTCAATTACGAAACGAACGTCCAGTGCTTCCAGGTTTCCCGTGGTGGTCTAGCTTAAATCGACTGATGAATTTAAACAATAAATAACTACAATTTCCACAAACCCTCATTCTGACAATAAATTTAATGATTGACTTACATAGTAGTATCCTAAAACATAGAATATAAATTACTGACAACGGTAGTACAAAAGTTAAATATATTATAAAGATTAATATTTCTTTAGTCATACGGCATATTTTCAAACCCTGAAAGACTGCCTATATACACAACAAAACGTGAAGGACATAACGATAAATGCATATCGTTGTACAGTTAAATTACTTGTAATTGACATTCAGGATGAGTGGGAAATTCCCTGAAACTTACTTGCATCTGTTATCCCTCATGGAGAAGCACAGACTAACCATTACCATTCTCCATCCAACTCTGTCCTGAATACCAGCTCAGTGGTCTGCAGATTAAGTGTTCCTAATTGAGACTGAATGTTCTGGGTTCGATTCCCTTTGATGATGGACCATAGATACTCGCTGATGAGGAGTAACATATTGGACGAAATAGGCCATCTAGTGCTTCCAGATTTCTTATGGTAGTCCAGCTTACATTGAATCATGAATTTTTCGTGTCATGTAGGTAACCCTCGTGTTATTGATAGAAGAAACCAGACTAGCAGTGAATAGGTTCTTATTTAGATCTTCGCGCAGTCACAGTGGAGCGTGGAATTATCTGTTCAGACAAACAAAGCCTCTCAACATTCAATACAAGATAATAGGAAATATAACGCCTATATAAAATAAGGAAGTGAATGATTACTTGAACTCTACTGTTTTGACATATGCTTAGTCGTTCGAGGTCAACTATTAACCAATCAACCTAAGCTGTTACTTTAGCTTCCCCCTAGAATCGATTTCCGTAGGAACGTTGGTTCGATAAACCTATCTGTCAAAAGCATGTTAGTTCTGTTTTCGCAGCCCAAGGGAGAATTATCAACTCGCTCGCTGTTTGACTTCCAATCAATGACAACTAACTACGTTAACAATCGACGATAGTTCATGAATGTCTGTTTATTTGCTAGTTTATCATCTTATTTTGTAGCATGTAATTTCTTCTACAACTATCACTGACAGTTTGCTATGTGCTCTCAAGAGAAAAAAAGTGTGAAAAAATGAAACAAGAATATCTGAAGAAATGCCGTGAGCGGGCTACTCAACACTATATTGATGAGGTACGATTTTTCCATACTCTATCCGGCTATCAGATATTTATTCACCTGCCTATTGAGTCATCATTCAATTGAATCATCACAATCTCTATTCTAATAATATCTCTGAATACACTCATGTTTATATGTTTTGTTTATACTGACCGCTAGTTAGATGTAAACAAGTTCAATTGAATAACATTTGACAATGAACATCATTTACAATAACATTAGATTAAACCATTATGACCCATAAATGTAATCGATTCAATGAGCTTTTGTATTTATTACAATACACACATATATAAATACAAATTAGCCTAGTGTAGTAGTACATGATTCATTGTTTTAATAAATAGTTCTGATTATATGTATCATGTATTCATTGAATTCAGGTCAAAGTCCCTTAGTAACCATAATAATTCATTAATTTATGGTTTCCTATTCATATCAAATATAAATGATTTGATACTCACCCCTATCCCCCCCTTTCCCCCCCTCCCGCCGCCGTATATTCAATTGAATCTCTCTCTATATATAAAGTTCAAACAAACAATTAAATGATGTTCAATTAAACTTGGTAGATTTTGCATTATACAATGACAATCATATACAAATCGTTTTTATTATCATTATTAATTCTATCATTAATGATTACCCAAGAAATTACATGTTTTCTAGGTATGTTATCAATTTGTTTAATATATATAATATAAATGATAGAGGTTTACTATGTTGGGATCTATGTATAGACTAGTACTATACATCTATTGTGTATTGTATAATTGTTAAGCAGTTAAACTATGCATATTCATATCCTTCCTATTATAAGCTTTATTATGATCTATAGACTAGTGTTATATGATTTACCGTTCTTGAATTATGCCCAGTCTCGCAAAATCACAGCCATATTTAGCTTAATCCTGTACAAGTGTTACTTCCTATTTTGTGGTACGATTTGGTCTGTTTGGTTGGTAGATAAACTCAGTATGTTTAAAATATAAGGATTTATATTGTAGAGGCTGAGATTGGTGTTCTGTATTGTAACAGGTAGGGCTATCCAAGAAGAAGGAACGATACGGACTCTAGACTGCTCATACAGGTTTTATGCATCATTGGTCTGGTCGATAAATCACTTATGGTGTTCAGTATTCTGTATCATCCTTAAACTTCGTATACAATTCGACCGGATAACCGTTACTAGATAAAACGCCCTAATGGTGTAATTAATCAAATGGTGAATACGAAGTGTTGAATAAGTTTATTATTGCACCACGCATAGATCATCAAAATTACAGATACGTTAAGCAAACATGAAAGAGTAGTGCCGAAATGCAAACAAATAAGCGAGTGAGCATGTGAGTCGAATGATTAAAATGTACATATATGTAAACATGGGAAATGAATGAATTATCGAGTCAATGAAGCGACTAATTGTAACGCTATCGGAGTGAATATATGCATAGTCAGTAAGCAATACTTAAGCATACATATTAGTATAAGTGAAACAACACTAAAGATACAATGATGTAACGATAAGTTGTTATTGTACGAATGACTCTGTCTGTTAAATAGGTTAACAAAAGGGCTTAACCAAGTTAAATGCCAACAAACTCAGTTCCATATGAGCTGTCATACACTGTTCTCGAATTGGCGGGATCATTACGTTATATATATATATATATATATATATATATATATATATATTAGTAGGGCACAAGGGCGAGACTATAATTTATGAACGAATCAATCAGATTTACGATAACAGATCTTGAATTTTGGCACGAAATCATTCATCCATTTGGCTAAATAGAGTTTTGGCATTATAGCTGATGTCAGTTCGTTATGAGAAACCCTAAAATCTAATTCCTAACCTATAACCATCAATTGTAAAGCATAATCGTTATTCTTTAAACTGATTTATAACCCTCATTTAACCATAGTTAGTAGGTAAACACTCTCAAGGTCACTCTAGCGTCGCTCAAATGTCGTCCATAAATTATGGTCTCACCGCCACAAGTTATAACATTATCTACACTTCAGAACAGCATATTATAGATAATTTTTTTTTATTTTTACAGTGATGTTAATAGGTCATTTTGTATTTGTGATTACTTTGCTTAAGTAAAATCCAGGATATACATGAAATAGGATAAAATCAATGACACCCTATATTCTAAGCATCCAAATCTGTATAACAAATCGACTTTTCCGACTAATCATATTACAGTTTGCAGCAATTGAAGCAATTTGAAGGACTCTCCTGGTCTCCCACATTGTACGAGCATTCCATATACCCAAATAAATGTTTGCTCTGGTTGTCAGAAGGGGCATCAGCCTTGTGAATTCTAAAGGGACTCGGCTTTCACCATGAGGTGTCATAAATCTTCTAAATCAAGACCTTCTGAATCTCAGGACAGAGTTTAAATGGTTTGAGTAATTTTTGTTGGTAAGCATTCTTTTAGCGAGTTAGTTTTCTACGGGATGGGGTCGCTAACCCCATGTCTAACCCTCCTCCTTTATCTGGAGTTGGGGTCGTCAGTAGCCACAGAGGGGCTCCAGGCGGACTTACATTACAGTTCAGTAGTGTTAAAATGATTGACAAAAACGATCATTCATGATTCTTTCAATTCTGTTATTATTAGAATTCATCTCTGTTTACATTTGTAGTTTCTTCAATACAATTTTCTCAATCATCTGCTACCATCCATCCATTGATGTTACACACTACTCATATCTGTTAACATAAGTAGTATACCTCATAAATTTATTATTCTTCTGTTATTCTTCATATTTTTAGGCTTAAAATGTGCAGAAAAAGGTGAAGAATGTACAAAAACGTTATTCAAACGCTGTTGTGGAAATCTTGTATGTCAACTTCAAGGACCATTTAATGGAATATGTGTAGATTGTTTAAGTTTGGAGTCAGCTTGTATTGCAGATCATGAATGTTGTAGTAAACGGTGTTATTTGTTTGCCTGTAAACCACCACTTTAATAAATTTATATTCATCATTTATGGTTTAATTTGTTTGAAATGATGAAATGTATCATGTTTCTTTTGAAATAAAAGAAGTATTCATTTCTGTTCAGTTGTTATTCTAAGATAGATCCGTTGTAAACAACCTTTCTGAATAGTCAAATCATACTCTGATTTCCATAACATTTATTTATTAATTTTAATAGTTGAAATCATGAGTCAATTGAAGCTAGAACACCATGGAAAGCCTGAAAGCAATAGATAGCCATTTTGTTCTAGTATAGGACTCCTCAGCAGTGAGCATCCACGATGCCGCACCCCGCGAGATTCGAACCCATGACCTATCAGTTTTACCGTTGTACCAATTCATGAAGTGTTATTTAGAACAGGTGTTATGAAACGTCGTATTCCATAAAAATGACTCGATTAGAATGCAAATTATTCCTATACCTAAAAGTTTTATTTACTCATCATTAACATACATTCATGATCACTGAGATCAGAAGATCCCATATTTTGTCAGCGTATATTGTATATCTTTCAGCAGTTCACTAAGAGATCAACAGTAATTCATTACTTTTAATGAATGTGAATTTTAAACAGTAAACATCGTTTAGATATCATATAAATATATGTGAATCCAAGGATTAAGAAAGTAAGGACAGCATTCCTACAATTGAACAACATACGGAACTCAAAACAACTGTTAACCAACATTGGAGTCACAATCTTCAATGCGAACATCAAGACAGTTCTATTGTGTGGAGCTGAACTTTGAAGAACTATCACAACCATCATCAAAATGGTACAAGTATTTATGAACAGTTGTCCACGTAAGATACTCATTATCCGTTGACTGAATGCCATGAGCAACAGTCTACTGTAGGAGAGAACAAACTAACTTCCAGCTGAAGAGCAAATTAAGAAAAGACTTTGGAAGTGGATAGGAAATATCTTGTGGAAATCATCAGACTGCATTACGAGGTAGACCCTTACTCGGAATCCTGAAGGGAAATGAAAAAAAGAACACAAAACGTCGGGAATAGGAGGCAGACATGAAGAAGATGAAAATCAACTATAAACAACTTGGAAGTATCGTTCAGGACAGAATTGGATAGAGAATACTGATGGTTGGCCTATACTCCTCGACGAGGAGTAACAGGCGTGAGTAAATATTATTTGATTACTTTGGAAAAATTGGAACAATTGGGCATCATATTTCGGATTATTGTTGTCTATAATCCTATTGTGTGTAATGAATTAGTAGATCACTGTAATTTAGCATTTCTGCATTTCTCTTATTGTAAACTTTCATTGTTGTTCTATGTATTACTATTCCGTGATTATTGCTAATTGATTATGTATTATTTGCCTTACACTTAACCATTTATAATCTGATTGGGTTTAAAGTATAATTTCTTATTTAGTGTATTATATAGTCATCATTTATGTGAATCGTATTATTGTATGAGTTTTGAATGATGATTGAATGAAACATAATAATAGATAACCAGTTGAATTAAATGAAATTAAATGAGATGGATTAACTCCTCTTGAAGGCAGTCTGGGGCTACTGCCTGTCTCAAACCTCGATAAAGGACGAGGGTTGGGCATGAAGTTAGCGACACCATCCCGTAGAATATACATATATATATACACTGTGTTATGAATTGTGTATACCATATACATGCTAGAATTTACATGTATGTAGTGACCTACTTTTACCAGTAGAACGAGATTGGTCTAAAGGCAACAATCATTATTATAACCAATTGTACCAGTGATTGTTTTACTGTGCTCGTTTGTTTAACTGTGCTAAAGACAGCCATATTCCTACTCTTTTACTCTCCATTACTTTTCCGCGGATTGTGACCTCGTACGTTCGTACTCTTGCCCGCTGATTCCACTTGTACTCTTTTGGCACGATCTCGGTATCCTTTCTATATCACGAGATCACCAACGGATAAATCCGGTTACATTCAATCTTCGCCTTCTGATTCATTTGGTACGCGTTTCCCTGTAGTGGTGCACATGATCAACCTCGACTCGACACCATGCTACATGTAATAGATTTTTAGATTACTCAATGATTACTGTAATCTCTTGAAACTATATAGGATTATTTATCGCTGAAATGCTAAGAAATATCTAATGTTTTCATTAGAATTTGAAGTGATTTGAACTAGTCGAACGGAAATTAAACGTAACCGTCAGTCGATGAAAATTATATTTCACATTATCAGAAAGGGATTTTGCAGATATTGTAGTAGTTTAATAGTTGAGTTCATGAGTCAATTGAAGCTAAACCAACAATGAAAAGCTTCAAGCACTGTAGGTCGTTTCATCCTAGTATGGAACTCATCAGCAATGCGCAACCACGATCCAGTGCTTCCAAGTTTTCTATGTTGAACTCAACTATTAAGTTACTACGATATCCACAAAATCCTCTTTCTGATAATCATCATCATGTGCTCATTAGTGACTGCATACAACAGGTATTTCTTGAGGTTCTAATGAGGAGCCGTGACCAATGAAGTTCAATCACCTCTGTTGTGAGGCAGTTACTCACTGAAGGCAAAGGTGGACGGTGCCGAAATTTCGTGAATTGGTTGAAATTAGACATTAACACCGTTGGATGCCAGGTAAGTGGTCTGGAGGGGAAGCGTTCTTAAGTGAGACCGAAGGTTCTGGGTTCGAGTTCTTCGAGTGAGATCGTGGATGCGCACTGTTGAGAAGTCCTATACTTGGATTAAACGGCCATTCAATGCTTCCGGATTTTCAATGGTGGTCTAGCTTCAATTGGCTCATGAAATCAATTATTAAGTATTTCATATTTCTGTCTAATCTCACTTCATAACAACACATTGTAAGGTATTTTGTTTGCAATGAACTGTAAACTAATCACTTCATAATTGCAATTCATTTAGTTTAGTATAATGCAAAATGTACATAAAACACGCGAAATTTAATGATCGATAAGTCTTTTAATCATATTGATTATCTATCAATACATTACATATCCATGATCATTAGCTTTCATCCAGTTAGTTACCAGTCTATTAAAATTACTGATCCTTTAATGATCTGAGTCAACTTTCATCACATAGACTGTCATTCATTAACTATCAAATGACATATTCCAATATGAATGTTCTTATACGTCATAATGTCAGGATTTTCAGCCATTAACTATTCAGATTTAGGGTAAAACTGTGCTGCCAATACAGTTGAACGACGTTGTGATAACCGTACATTTGGGATTGATGGATTATTTCATGGGGAATGTGTATATTGTTTGTGAGTGAGATCATATTGTCATACAGACTATAAATGCGTTAATAGATGGTATTGTAGTGTCAGTTACTATGTTAAGCCCATATATTACCTTATTCTAGGTTTCGGACAGCTCATTCTATTCATTCTACTTGAGTCACATTCTGACCTTGTCAATTATTTGCTTATCAATCATGACTGTTTTTATATGAGCGTGTAGGTGTGTGTACATTTCTTATCCCATCACTCATCACATGTCTGTAAATTACTTTTGTGTAACTATAAATATTGATTAACGCTTGGTCAAATGGGAGTTGGCTTCCCAGCCATCTTTCCTGCGTGTCATTTTGCTTTGCTATGTTTCATTCGCTTCATATACAAAATATATGTATTCACAAATCAATTCTCGCTATTCGACTTATTTCAATCCGTTATTGACCAACGTGATTTAAGTCGACGATGATATACGAGAAAAGGCTATAACAATCATTCGTACGATCTAAGAGTCAGATCCACGGGCCACTAAAATGGTGAGCCCCTCAACGAATCTCGTCGATCTAAATGAAAACAAAATCAAACTACGGGTCCCACTAAAATATCATTTGTCTAGTTGTAAATCGTCACCAGAGTAAACCTCATAAATCCTGATGAATTAGGATGTTTGGAATGTTACAAACTAGTGAAATGTGTCACATTTCCTTTGAAATAAAGAAGTATTCATTATTATTCAGTTGCTGTTATAATGAAATGCGTTTACTTGATGATCTTTCTACATACTCACAGTATACCCTAATTCACTAGATAATTTATTCAATGGGCTCTTGAATGATTTTAACATGAAATCAGAGCATCGATTATGAAATCTGAAACTTGGATTATAGTTTCATCATTGTACAACTTCAAATGGTATTATGAGAACATGTCTTACGAAATACCTTTTTCTACAGATTTGTCTTTTCAGTGAATTCCCCTAAATGAATAGAACTATGACTGCTGATTGAGATCATAAATCGATTGATCTTAGACCACCATTTGGAACCTGGAAGCACTCTAGTATGGGACTCTTCAGCAGTGCACTCCCAAGATCCAGCACGCGGGATTCGAACCCAGGATCGTCGGTTTCTCGTGGGAATACTTAATCTGTAGACCAATGGGTCGTCTAACTTCAACCAATCCACGATGTCTTGCGACATCGTGGATTCATTGATAGTCTCACATTAATCGGTTCGTGATTTTAATGAAATACATATATAAAATGTTTGCAAACCTCAACTCGCAAGATATCTGTGGGGATTACCTCGTCTGTATGTCTGGAAACAGTTACACTTTAAATGAACAATATCATTCAAGCCATTTCCATTGTTTAATATAGTTATCTATTTATAAATGGCTACTTGAGATGGTATCTATCGGTACTTTCCATATTTGACTTTTAATACTACCGTCGGAAAAGATGAATGTGCAGAGTAAGAAAGATTTAAACATAGAAAAAATTGGGAGAGGCATAAGTTTTTTATAATATCCAGTTTAGATATCAGATGATCCAGTTGTGGGCCAAGTTAAACTTAGCGGATGGATATACCTCTTCTCGTTACATAAGTTTGATTTTCTGGAGTTTATCCAGATGGCTTCAGCTATGTAAAGTAGCCGTAATCTAGTTCATTGAGGTAGATTCTTTGAAACTTGAAATAAAACAGAGAAAGCCTCATCTATTTTGACATGATGTTCACAATCTACCAAGTGAGAAGAAATAGTACTGTTGATCAATTTAATAACACTTTTTCCCGACCATGCTGGTACATGTTCATGAACACGCAAAGATAAAACCCTCCGAGTACG